GGGTCACAGGCCAGGTTCAGCAGGTAGCAAGCAGCGTAGTACAGAGGGTCAGGCAGAGGGATGGTCAGGGTCACAAGCCAGGGATCAGAACAGGTAGCAAGCAGCGTGGTACAGAGGGTCAGGCAGAGGGATGGTCAGGAGCGAGCCGGGATCAGAGCAGGAGAAGTCAGCAGCGGTTCAGAAACAGGATGCAGGACAGAAACAGGATACAGGGCCCAGGACAAACACAACACCAAGGCAGAGTCTGTGGGTCTGGCCATCCCTTAAATACCCCAGCATAATCAGTTCCAGGTGTTAGCTGGCTGCAAAGTTGAGTCTCTGATTGCTGGGAGCATCCGCTGGCCAGCCCTGGTACTGCAGATCAAAAGGCAGGTGAGTCCCACCATTGCTGGCCAGTCCATTCCTGACAGTACCCCCCCCTCAAGGAGCGGCCTCAGGACGCTCCAAACAGTCCTAGCTGGGAAAAATGTTCCACCGCCCGGGTCTGGTAACTGGCGGGATATCAAAGACTGGCACACCGGGCAGGACTCCGGGCAGCGGTACACCGGGCAGAGGCACATCGGGCTGGACTCCGGGCAGAGGCACACCGGGCAGAGGCACACCGGGCTGGACTCCGGGCAGAGGCACACCGGGGGCAGAGGCACATCGGGCTGGACTCCGGGCAGAGGCACATCGGGCTGGACTCCGAGCAGAGGCACATCGGGCTGGACTCCGGGCAGAGGCACACCGGGCAGAGGCACATCGGGCAGAGGCACACCGGGCTGGACTCCGGGCAGAGGCACACCGGGCAGAGGCACATCGGGCTGGACTCCGGGCAGAGGCACATCGGGCTGGACTCCGGCAGAGGCACATCGGGCTGGACTCTGGGCAGAGGCACATCGGGCTGGACTCCGGGCAGAGGCACATCGGGCTGGACTCCGGGCAGAGGCACATCGGGCTGGACTCCGGGCAGAGGCACATCGGGCTGGACTCCGGGCAGAGGCACATCGGGCTGGACTCCGGGCAGAGGCACATCGGGCTGGACTCCGGGCAGAGGCACAGCGGGCTGGACTCCGGGCAGAGGCACAGCGGGCTGGACTCCGGGCAGAGGCACAGCGGGCAGAGGCACATCGGGCAGAGGCACATCGGGCTGGACTCCGGGCAGAGGCACATCGGGCTGGACTCCGGGCAGAGGCACACCGGGCAGAGGCACATCGGGCAGAGGCACATCGGGCTGGACTCCGGGCAGAGGCACATCGGGCTGGACTCCGGGCAGAGGCACATCGGGCTGGAGAGAGGCATCAGGCTGAAGAGAGGCATCAGGCTGAGTAGAGGCATCAGGCTGAGTAGAGGCATCAGGCTGAGTAGAGGCATCAGGCTGAGTAGAGGTATCAGGCTGAGTAGAGACTTCAGGCTGAGTAGAGGCTTCAGGCTGAGTCACGGAAGGCAGGTTCACCGGTTTGGATACTGGCAGGATGGTATTGGTTGGAAAGAATTTTCGCTTTTTTCTGGTTTTAACTACTGGAGCACTGCAAGTAAACGCAGGTCTGCAAATGAATGGAGCAGCTGGAGACAGAGAAAAACTGGAGGATGGAACAGGAGAGGGAGCAGTTGCTACAGAGGGCTTTTTTACAGGGTTAAAGGCAGGATAGGTGCAGCAAGTGGGAACAGGGTACTGACATGCGGTAGATAGCCAAGTATACTGGGCTGTAACTGGAGGAGCTGGTGGGAATACAGGAGTAGAGTTAGAAGCAGGACTGGGTTTTTGTAAGCTGACTGAGGCTGGGTGCAACAAGTCTGTCCATGTCTGCAGTAGGGGTTGAACAAAGCTGAGCTTACACAAAGCCTGTCTGGTCAATGACTGCACTGCGTTTATACAATCTCTTAGTGTCTGTGGTGAACATGTGGAATAACGCTCCAGAAAGTAACCCACATCATCCTCTAATAACCACACCAGGGACTCTACCTGGTCTGCACTAAATGGTGGCAAAAATTCATCCCTGCATTCGGGGGAACCAGATGAAACCAACTCAGCACAAACCTCAATCAAAGGCTGCACCTCAGAGAACTCTGTGCCCTGATCTACTAGAACATGAGCGAGCCGTATACATTCTAGTAGTTGATCCCTGGGATACTCCTTCAGAGTTTGATAAGCATACTCCCTGTCATCAAACACTAGCAGATATAAATACACAACCTCATCAAGATCCATCCTTCCCAGCAACAAGCCAAGATGGCTTCCCTGTGCAGCCACTTCTGGTCAGGATTGGCCTTGGTGTAATGTCAGGGCTCCCAGGTGTGACCAGAGGTGTGTGGCTGACGCAGGGAAACGCAGACCTCAGATATGTTATAAACAATATAATTTATTAACACTAACAATACAAACATAAACGCAGTGCAATACTAAAACATAATACAGTGCAACCAAACCAAACCAAACCAACCACCCACAGATAACAGTACATACAAGCAAGCGTCGTCAGGCAGGCCGGGTCAATATCAATAGGGCAGGTAGGTACAGGGGGAGCAAGCGGAGATTGGTCGGGGTCACAGGCCAGGTTCAGCAGGTAGCAAGCAGCGTAGTACAGAGGGTCAGGCAGAGGGATGGTCAGGGTCACAAGCCAGGGATCAGAACAGGTAGCAAGCAGCGTGGTACAGAGGGTCAGGCAGAGGGATGGTCAGGAGCGAGCCGGGATCAGAGCAGGAGAAGTCAGCAGCGGTTCAGAAACAGGATGCAGGACAGAAACAGGATACAGGATACAGGGCCCAGGACAAACACAACACCAAGGCAGAGTCTGTGGGTCTGGCCATCCCTTAAATACCCCAGCATAATCAGTTCCAGGTGTTAGCTGGCTGCAAAGTTGAGTCTCTGATTGCTGGGAGCATCCGCTGGCCAGCCCTGGTACTGCAGATCAAAAGGCAGGTGAGTCCCACCATTGCTGGCCAGTCCATTCCTGACAAATAGGGTCTCCACTGCTACATACTGCTTCCTCTTGCTCTGATGAGTGTAATCACAACTAACAATATGCATTGTGAGACGGAATATCACTCCTCCCAGCACTGCCTGCAAGCTGGATGGGTGGTAGTACTGTAGATTTGAGACACCAAAGAACACATGATGGCCTGTTAAGTGTAGGTTTCAGTAGTTATCCCTTTTGTCCCATTCCTCAACTAAAGCCCAATCTCTACATTTTCATGTCAAAGTGAAATGAAACAAATGTGTGGGATGAGACCTGTAGCTGAAGACATATCAATGAAGCTTTAATTGCAAAGCAGAGAGGGACAAGTAAATCACTTTAGTTGTGTAAAACATAAAAATGGCTGTGCTGCCTCTTCCAAAAAACTACTTTAAATAGTTAATTAAATAAATGCATGAACTCCCTACTACACAAAGGGTCCACACAAATGTGCATGTGCTATAATGCCCCTTGGGCTGGCAATTATATCCCTCCTCCCCAGTGACTAAATCCTAAATAAACCAATAAGTAAATACAAGGTGCTTAAACGACAATAGTGCTAAAATAGCACATATACAATGCCATGAGACTGTGTATACAGTGAAATTGTATAAAACTATATATATATATATATATATATATATATATATATATATATATATATATATAAAATCCCAATAATTGTGCAAACATATAAAAGTTAAAAAAAAAATTGAAAGTTCCAAAAAAAACCCAAAGAAGCCACTAACCACATCTGGTATGAATATTAAATGATACATAGTAAATCTTCTTATCCATAGCAATTCTCTGTGCGTAGTGCTCCAATTAGTGCTCTCCCTCCAGAGCCCCACTCACCACAAATAATTGACCACCTGGAATGGAAAGTCAAATATTGCATAAGATGTTGCAGCGCTCTCCTGCAGGAAAGTTGGCCGTCTGTGTGGTCTTGACACCTCTATATACACTGATGACAGACTCCATAATGGAAACACCTCTAGATCAATCGTTTGCGACAAAACTCCTCCAGAACCTCCACAGTACTCCTCCACCACCATAAAAACATCAAAGGGAAACTTCTGTAGCGTAACACCGTATTTGTTAGGTAAAAAAAATTAAAATTGCGCTTACATAAAAACCATGTGTATGGCACTTTAAATCCCAGCAAAAAGCAATTCCCTCTCAGAGGACAAGTGTAGCGCTATCAAGCCCCGCCCTACATGTTTCAGCCTATGACATCATCAGGAGTTCTGGAGGAGTTTTGTCACAAACGATTGATCTAGAGGTGTTTCCCCTATGGAGTCTGTCATCAGCATATAGAGGTGTCAAGACCACACAGACAGCCCACTTTCCTGCAGGAGAGCGCTGCAACATCTCATGCAATATTTGACCTACCATTCCAGGTGGCCAGTTATCTGTGATGAGTGGGGCTCTGGAGGGGGAGCACTAACTGGAGCACTACACACAGAGAATTGCTATGGATAAAAAGATTTACTACTGTATCACTTATTATTCATACCATAAATCAAAAATGTAGCGCTACAGACCCAAGATATACCAATGAAGACAGATAGGTGATTCATATGAATAAATAAACATAAACATAACAGTTCATAAAAAGGGTGACTTTTGGTGATTTCTTCTCTGTCCTATACTTCTGGTGCTCAGGCGTTGTGCAAAATAGTGCTGAGAGAATGCACACTCACCAGAACGCCCAGGAAAATGAGCGTTTAGTAATTATATATTCCCCTTGGAGACATCAGCCGGTCAGGATAAGATAGTGTGCTAGCCTCCCTCAAGAGCTCCTGTAAGTTACTGTGTGATCCCTCGGTAGGTGGCCTGTGGACTGCTCCTTGGGGACCACATACGTTCCTTTTCTTTGGCTTCTTAGATTTCGTTTTCTCCTTTTTTTTCTTCAGCTTCTTCTTACTCACTTCTCCCTCCTTTTTCTTATCTGCAGAAAGTGCTGGCTGGGCTGGAATCTCGTCCTCCTCATCAGAGTTGTGAACGATTCTTTTGGTGCGCTCCACTGTGCAGCGAGTAAAGGAGGCCGCCGGAAACGATGCAGGTGTAAACAAGGACAATATCCGAGCTGGATGTAAAAAGTGTGGATATCCTGGCCACCTTACATTTGAGTGTAGAAACTTCCTTAGAGTGGACCCACAGCGAGATATTGTGTTAGATGTGAGCAGCACAAGCAGTGAGGACTCTGATGAGGAGGACGAGATTCCAGCCCAGCCAGCACTTTCTGCAGATAAGAAAAAGGAGGGAGAAGTGAGTAAGAAGAAGCTGAAGAAAAAAAAGGAGAAAACGAAATCTAAGAAGCCAAAGAAAAGGAACGTATGTGGTCCCCAAGGAGCAGTCCACAGGCCACCTACCGAGGGATCACACAGTAACTTACAGGAGCTCTTGAGGGAGGCTAGCACACTATCTTATCCTGACCGGCTGATGTCTCCAAGGGGAATATATAATTACTAAACGCTCATTTTCCTGGGCGTTCTGGTGAGTGTGCATTCTCTCAGCACTATTTTGCACAACGCCTGAGCACCAGAAGTATAGGACAGAGAAGAAATCACCAAAAGTCACCCTTTTTATGAACTGTTATGTTTATGTTTATTTATTCATATGAATCACCTATCTGTCTTCATTGGTATATCTTGGGTCTGTAGCGCTACATTTTTGATTTATGGTATTTTAAAGGTGTTTGGTAACCTGATGTATAGCTGCTGCAATTAGGTGCGCTCGTATACACATTTTTCTTTACCTATTATTCATACCAGATGTGGTTAGTGGCTTCTTTGGGGGTTTTTTGGAACTTTCAATTTCTTTTTGACTTTTATATGTTTGCACAATTATTGGGACTTTAATATACAATATATATATATATATATATATATATATATAGTTTTATACAATTTCACTGTATACACAGTTTCATGGCATTGTATATGTGCTATTTTTAGCACTATTGTCATTTAAACACCTTGTATTTGCTTATTGATTTATTTAGGATTTAGTCACTGTGGAGGAGGGATATAATTGCCAGCCCACGGGGCATTATAGCACATGCACATTTGTGGGGACTCTTTGTGTAGTAAGGAGTTCATTCATTTATTTAATTCATTATTTAAAGTCGTTTTTGAGGGAGGCAGCGCAGCAATTTTTATGTTTGCACTCACACATTTGTCCACCTGTAAACATTTGTGATTTTGCTAGCAGCAGCCAGTCTAATTGATCAGTCCTCTGCGCAAGTTATACTCACACACTTTAGTTGTGTACAGGGGTGGACTGACCAGTTGGAAACTCGGGCACTGCCCGAGAGCCCGGGGTCAGTAGGGGGCCCCATGAGATGCCCCTGGTACCTTTTTCATAGGCTTTTTTTAGTTTGGCAATAAATAAATAATTTGCGCTAGTAAATGTGTATAAATATATAAATATATATAAAGAAATCATCAAATCATAAGTCCAGAAAAAAAATATATATATGCCAATACCACAAAAAAAAAAAAAAAATATAAAAAAACTTTCAAGTGCAAAAAACTTTTTTGCAAAAAAAGTGTCTAAATATGAAAAATTTCACCAAAAAACCTTGATAATATAATGGCAGATCATCCATAAATATATCTTCAGAAACGGAAACTCTGCAACACACCGATCCTCATCGATCGAAATAACAGGATGAAAAACGTTGTAGTTAATCGAAAATCCACTTCTCCAATAGATAAAGGACCACCTTCAAACGTATCCATGGGGGGAAAATGCCAAGCACTCGAGAGAAACAGAAAGACTTCATGGTGCAATATTATAAAAAACCAATTCCTTTATTAGGTACTCATTGCACTTACTCAAGAGGTGTCCCAGCCGACACCAGCATCAACAGCATAACAGCAATCACATAAACGAGCCTGGCTACTCAGCACATGCGCAGTAGCTGGCAGCCAAAAACGTAATGACGTCACATCAATCAAGCTCCGCCCTACGCGTTTCGTCATCGACGTCCTCACGGAGCGGGCTCTTCTTTTTTTTAGTTTGGGCAAGGACACAGGGGCCCCATGATCCCCTATCGCCCGGGGGCCCCATGAGTTGTCAGTTCGCCCCTGGTTATGTACCAACATTTTTCCTACAGAAGGGAAGGATGAAGCGATTATGACCATATGTGTGTGCACACAGCTAGTTGCTTTCTTGTAGGCCTTTCATAAGCTGTGTGGTGGGAGCATATCACCTCAAGAAGTAACTTAAATATGGACAGGACTTTTCGAACACGATTTATGGGCTTTGTTACATACATCTCTGGCAGCTAGTGTCAACTATACAGTATAATGTAGTCAGGTCATTTCAATGAAGTTTTCCTAAACTGTAGCTGTGCAACATTTGATTGTTTCTGTCATACAATGTTATTGAAGGCCATATACTGCATGTGAACACGATAGAAAATGTAGGTGTATCATTTGCAACATTAGTTGAAGACATAGTGCTAATTTGGTAGTTGGATGTTAGGCCCTATCAATTCATACTAAACTTAGCTATAACACTGCATATGGCAATGGCAGAAGGCATGCCAGAGTAAAATCAATGCTTGCCAACTGAATGTGCTCAAGCTCGAGAAATACTAACCTCTTAAGTACTGGTATTAACATTAATTCCATGGTAAGGTCTGCCTAAAATACACCTGCCATGAGGAAATATGGAGGATACCACTTTTCTTCCCTAATGTGATAGTTGTCTGGATGGCTCTTCTTTCAGATCTAGAACAAACATCTATAAAATGAGTCAGACCACCTATCTGCATACTTGTTTCAGATTTTTATTACAGCTGACATTTCAATTACAGGTTTCCTTTAATATCATAATATTTTAGATTTCCTTTTGTTTTATTGTCTGCATATACTCTTAAGTCCCACCTTCCTTAATGCATTCATTTTATGACTGCAGTTAGTTGACATACATACTAATGGTTCCTATGGAGGCAAATTAGGAAAATATGTTCAGCTCAACCCCTGGAAACTATCTACAAAGCCCTTATGTCTTTGGATAATTTTGCTTTGTCATGATGAGCTAAACAATCTGTCAAGCATCATCATAATCATCAGCAGCAGCACAGCTGACTAAACGTATTGCTGTTTATTGATGTTAGTTCTTTGTACATGTAATGATGCTATATTCTGTTCAGTATGTACAGTATGTCATCCTTTTTTGAAGGTACTTATTGTTTACATGAAGAAAATTGATTTTCCGATTTTTCATTGCATGTCAACTTTTCTTTGATTGTCACTAAGTACATTGACTTTCATAACTGTAAGTATCCATTGATTTCAATTAATGCCACACACAAAACTTATGTAGTCTGATCCATATAGATGTGTTTTTTTCTTCAAATGTAAATATAACATATACAGTTGTGCTCAAAAGTTTGCATATCCTGGCAGAAATCGTGAAATGTTGGCATTGATATTGAAACTATGACTGATCATGCCAAAAAACTGTCTTTTATTTAAATTTTTTATTTGAAGTAAACCCACTTTTGCATAATAAAGCTTACCTGTAGGTAAAATGAATATCACCTAAACGTGCACTGTATAGGTGATATTCGCTATTTATGACAGCCAGCACATGCACTCTGAAGGAACAGCAAAGTGCCGGTCCTTCAAAGCACTGTGCTGTGGCCCAAGACTCTCACTCAAGAAGACAGGAGGAAGTCGTCAAACCCACAACCAGAGAAACTCTGAGCAGCCCAAAGCAATCATAAGCTGCTCCACTGATTACAGAGGAGCTAAAGAGTTAAATTTACCTAACCTAGCTAGCACCTATCTAAGAGGGTGCTATGCATACATGAAAATGGGTTTGCTAGTCAGTGGATCTGTAATTTTGTTCAGCCAACCTAGTGATTCACACACCTCTGCTATACTGCAAAGCCAGACAGGTGACACCTATACTTCCAGGTTCTACATAACAGCTTGGTATTCATCTATCTACCTCCAGCCCACTTACTGGACAATGAAACAAGGTCATCTCACTGCTGATTTACTGATTACTTGGCAAGCAGAATACACAGGAAGATGTAATGCTAAGCCAGTAAGAATTGAGGTTTCTGGCTTTACATTGCTTCAGTCCATGTAAATTACTAGACTGACCAAACAAATTTATAAATATTTGACTGGCAAAGCGGATAACATATACACTCACTGGCCACTTTATTAGGTACACCTTGCTAGTATTGGGTTAGAACACCTTTTGCCTTTACAACTGCCTTAATTCTTCATGGCATAGATTCAATAAGGCGTTGGAAACATTCCTCAGAGATTTTGGTCCATGTTGACATGATAGCATCACGCAATTGCTGCAGATTTGTCGGCTGAACATCCATAAACCGTTGATGCAAGACAGGATGGATCCATGCTTTCATGTTGTTTACAATTAATTCTGACCCTACCATCTCAATGTCGAAGCTGAAATCGAGACTCATCAGACCAAGCAACATTTTTCCAATCTTCTATTGTCCAATTTTGGTGGGCCTGTGCGAACCCCTATGACTATGAGCCTTCGCTCGAAACGCGTCAGGTTTAGCTACAGCAGGTTGGATGCTTCACCGCGGCGCCACGAGGGGCCCCGGCGGCCATCTTTGATTCATACCTGGGTCAGTATTTTTTTGTATGTTGGATTTTCTACTATCCTGTGCCTTCAATAAAGATACCTGAGGATATTACACTATGTGGCCCTTTCTATTTATTTGAGTTCTGGTGGGAACCGGCCAAATCTACAGAACAGCTGCATCCATCCAGGTACCAGGCCATGAGGGATATGCTGACCAGATCTGACCAGACCAGGATGATGACACAGGAGGTCTAGTGATATTTTCACACAAATGCGCATAAAGATTGCATATCTGGTGAGTGCGCAGTCTTTATATTTTATCACCTGATGGTCCTGTACATTGGACGTCTGAAGATCACCCTGGATCTTAAGAGCACCCCTTCATTGGACTGTTTTCACTCTCTTCACCTTATAGCCACCATCCAGTGGCATTACTAACTTACAGTCACTGTTTATTATTGTGTAATCATTCATTATTTGTTTAGTTATACAGCGCTGCACCTCCCTTTTCACATATCTGTGCGAATTGTAGCCTCCTTTTTCTGTTCTTAGCTGAAAGAAGTGACCCCCTGATGTGGTCTTCTCCCGCTGTAGCCCATCTGATTCAAGGTTCGACATGTGTGTTCAGATATGGTATTCTGCATACCTTGGTTGTAACAAGTGATTATTTGAGTTACAGTTGCCTTTCTATCATTTTGAACCAGCCTGCCCATTCTCCTCTGACATCAAGAAGGCATTTTCGTCCACACAACTGCCACTCACTGGATATTTTATCTTTTTTGGACCATTCTCTGTAACACGTAGAGATGGTTGTGTGGGAAAATAACAGTAGTTCAGCAGTTTTTGAAATATTCAAACCAGCCCGTCTGGCACCAACAACCATGCCA